ATCGGGATGGGGGGGGGGGCTCTACCGGAGGTGTGTGCCCCACTTTAGCTCTGTGTCGGCCCCCATCACTGAGCTAGGTGAGAAGGGGAGGCCAGACAAGCCGGTCTGGACCGGGCAGTGCCAGAGGGCTCTCCGGGCGCTGAAGGAGGATCTGGTCAAGGGCCCGGTGCTGGGAAACCCAGACTTTGACAAGCCCTTGATGGCGTTCACTGATGCCCCAGACCCAGGGCTGGGTGTGGGGCCGGCACAGGCCAATGCAAAGGGGCAGAGACCCCCCATTGGGTAGCTGAGCAGGAAGCTGCTGCCCCCCGGCAGGGCTATGGGGCACAGAGAAGCAGTACCTGGCCATGGGGTGCAGCCGGATCTCTTTGGGCGGCGCGTCGCGGTGTACCCGGACCACTCGCCTGCCGCGGCTGCACCCGATGAGTCTGGTGAAGTCTGTCCCTCCAGAGTATGAGATGTGGGGGGGCCAGTGTGATACCATCTCTCACTGGAAGGTGACAGGGCCAGGAAGAGTTAATTACCTCCCAGACTGACCTGATGTGACGAACTGGGACTGTTCTTACTGTGGTCTGTGAATGCTGACAGGGGAGTGTGGCTGGGATAGTCGGCATTGGGGGATGGGAGACTGGCCGAGGGAGAATACCTGAGCATGTAACATGAGAACCCAGGAAGGGGTTAGAGGCCAGGTCACACCTTGGCCCGGGAAACTGAACAAAGGCTGTGGGAGGGGTCGCTGAAGGGAGAGTTTCAGGAGATGGCTGGTGAGATGGCTGGGAGGCAGATGGGGCTCTGACCTCCCAAGGGGGGCTGGGATGCCCGAGGACCCCAAGATGGACCTAACTCAGGGGGTCCCTATTGTCTGCGCCTGCAAGACCTGTCTTGGACTGTATTCCTGTCATCCAAATAAACCTTCTGCTTTACTGGCTGGCTGAGAGTCCTGGTGAATCGCAGGAAGCCGGGGGGGCAGGGCCCGGTGTCCCCCCACAGTCCGTGACAAGTGACCCAGGGCCGAACTTTAGAGACTGGTTAGGAAGATCTGTAATGAACAGAGCTGGGAAATGCAAGTCTGCATTGTTAGCGGTAGAAGGGAGATGTTTGCTCAGGGCTTGTGATGTCAGCAAACAAGTCTTGTCTATTGCTACAGCGTTGATTCAAAGATCAAAAAGGGAATATTAACAGTTAGGGAGACACTTGAGGTCTCTATGTCTCTTTGAAGGTTGTGGTGACCTGTGTCTGAACTGTTCAATGGATAAATTACCCTGTGCTAATTGCCAGGATGTTTGGAAGGAGAGTTAGGCCTATTGTTTTCTCAGGCCGAAAGGCTGCTGGAAATGTATAAGAACCCTGGGCCACGATCCTGCTTCATCTCAGATCTGCTTTGGGTTTCAAGAGGGGGAAACCTTAAGCCACAAGGATTGAGATCCCCAGTCACTGCCTGGAGTCACCGTGAATATGGACATGAGACTATAACCTCTGGACTATTTCTAAAAGGACTTTTGGCAACTACAGGCTCATCTCTGCTGTGTCTGAACCTCAAGCATTGAATTCACGTCTGTCTGTATATTGATCTTTTAACCAACTCTCTCTCTTTTCTTTTTTAATTAGTATTAGTTTAGTTAATAAGAATTGGCTATAGCGAGTATTGTGGGCCAGATCTAAGTTGTAATTGAACCTGGGTGTGTGGCTGACCCTTTGGGGTTGGAAGAACCTTTTCTTTTATATGATGAGATCAGATTTTCAGTAATTAACATCATATCTGACAGGTGTGTGTGGACGGAGGCCGGACGCTGGGCACTTTAAGGGAACTGTGTTGTTTGGACTCTGAGTAACCAGTGAGGTAACACAGAGGCTGTTTTGGGCTGGTTGGTAAATCTAAGTATTGGAAGATCCACCAGCGTTTGGGGGTTTCTCTGCCCCGTTTTGTTTGCAGTTCACCCTGATTGAGTGACCTCAGCCGGCTCCCCCGGGCCAGGTTAAGGGAAGTGCCAATGTTCTAGCGGATGCGTTGTCCCGGAGAGGGGGCCTGAACTTCCCCAGGTCACCGGCTGGAGTGACTCTGCTCAGTTCAGACTCGAAGGGGGGAGAGATGTGACAAAGTGGGGGATTTTCTTAGTGTTTTACATGAACACTGTGTGTGCCTCAGTTTCCCTCTGTACTGCGTGTGTAACGAGGTGGGGGGAGGGGTTTGTAATTGCAGGGGACCAGGTGTGACCTCGCCTAGCAGCCGGGACCCCGGACACCGGCCTGGAGATTGGGGACCCAATCCAGGTTGGATATCAGGAAAAACTATTTCACTAGGAGGGTGGTGAAACACTGGAATGCGTTACCTAGGGAGGTGGTGGAGTCTCCTTCCTTGGAGGTTTTTAAGGCCCAGCTTGACAAAGCCCTGGCTGGGATGATTTAACAGGGAATTGGTCCTGCTTTGAGCAGGGGGTGGGACTAGATGACCTCTTGAGGTCCCTTCCAACTCTGATATTCTATGATTCTATGATTCTATGACCCAGCGACTGGTGACCGGGGGCCTAGCCCAGCTCGGGAGCAGCCGGTTCTGGCCGGGAAGGGGGGGGGGGGCAATGGGCTGAGGAGAGAGGGGCCCGGGGACCTGACCAGCCGGGTCCAGCCAGGGGGGAACAAAGGACAGAAGAGAGGGGCCCAGCGGCCTGTTCACCTGGACGGAAGACAAAGGGCGGAGGAGGGACTGGTGGGGGGAGATGATATCGGATGATCGGCTAGATCAAGGGTCGGCAACCTTTCAGAAGTGGGGTGCCGAGTCTTCATTTATTCACGCTGATTTAAGGTTTCGCGTGCCAGTCGTACATTTTAATGTTTTTAGAAGGTCTCTTTCTAGAAGTCTATAATATTGAACTAAACTATGGTTGTATGTAAAGGAAATCAGGTTTTCACAATGTTTAAGCTTCATTTAAAATTCAATTAAAATGCAGAGCCCCCCGGACCGGTGGCCAGGACCCGGACAGTGCGAGTGCCACTGAAAATCAGCTCACGTGCCGCCTTCGGGGAGGGCCCTTGTCAAAGGCTTTCTGAAAGCCCATGTACCCGATAGCCACTGGCTCCCCCTTGCCCACACGCTTGTTGACCCCTCACGGAATTCTAGTAGATTGGTGAGGCGCGATTTCCCTTCACAAAAGCTGAGTTGACTCTTCCCCCAACAAATCGTGTTCATCCACGTCTGACCATTCTGTTCTTTACTAGAGTTTCAACCAGTTTGCCCAGGACTGAAGTCAGGTTCACCGGCCTGGAATTGCCAGGATCGCCTCTGGGGCCTTTTTACAAATTGGCGTCACATTAGCCACCCTCCAGCCAGCGATAGGTGACGTACCACCACTACAATTGGGGTCCCTCGCAAGGCAGCGGGGAGGAGGGGGTCTCTCCCCGGGGGCCCCAGGGGCGGGGGGGTCTCCGAGGGGCCCCCGAGGGGCCCCGGGGGCG